CATAGTTTATTAGATATAATCCGTGTAAAGTTTGCTTATCATTTTCGCATAAATTATGACCTAAATTTGGAAACCGCTGAATTTCTCGAATTGGGTCTTTGCGATTTTGGTGAAACTCTGTTCAGCGCAAGGCACTAATGCGCACTATGTGTAGCCGAGAGATTTTCACGAAAAAATGCCGGCAACAGCAGATTTTCGACTCAGACCGCAAAGGGGCGTGGCATTATAACCACGTGACATTTACTCCGATCGCCAAACATTTTACGTTATATTGTAGATTGATCTATATGTTATCCATTCTATGTGTTAGACTTACGATAAAAGTAAAGGTGGGGATACCAGAGAGCTTCAAAGTAGGATGGTACCCCCCCAAAAAAAACTGGGTCGAGTCACCTTAACGGAGGGTTTTTTGCGTTACCGGTTTGGGGGTCTTATATTTGGAGGGGCTTATACATGGAGGGGCTTATTTTCGGAATTTTACGGTAGGCTATTCCAGAGTTCCCCCGGGCCTCTGTTTCAAAACGAGGGTAGGTGCTCAGCCTTTGATCTGGAAATCATTTTTCATTCTCATGCAAATAAAACTCATTTTCAGAAGAAAGGTTGTGCACCTAGCCTCATTTTGAAAGTGAGGGTTTTTGGAGTTCGGAAGTGGCCTATTCTTGGCAGTAGAAAAAATGGAGTCGGGCGTGTATTCCTTCTTCGCCACCTCGCTCAGCATAGCAGGGCTAGGAGACACTTTTAGTGTTGTTTATATTTCGAAGCACGGTGACCTTTAATTTACCCTTGTGAGCTGTGACCTGCGTTTTGTACCTACCAGGTGAGAAAGTGGAGGACGTTGCAGCCCAGTTATCAGTCAACCTTTAGTCAAATTTACGGAAAATAATAGACCCTAGGTTCGGCAATGAACAGTCATACATGAATGCATTTGTGACTTCTCGAGTCTAAGGTCTAGCTATGCCAAACGTCGAACTTTTTATGACACGAACCAAACTTAGGCAAGGGGTTCGCACTACTAGAGCGAATTTTTATTTTGTTTGTTTTTTTGGTCGGTGCGATTAGACCCAAAAAAATGGCACCGACCAATTTATTTTGGTTTGTGTTCCGCTCATGAAGCTACATACAAGGCTAAGTTCTCGTGTAGACATTGATAAAACGTCTACATTATGAAATGATTTGATTTCGTTTCGCACGATTTCAGCAACCTAATTGGCGGCCTGAAAAACATTGCTGTTCTCTCTGCGCTTTCGAGCTCTTTCGATGTTTTTTATCTCGTACCTCAATTATCGACAATAAACTGAAATTGTTTTGATACTTTTGCATCTGTATGGCTTACTGATACAGCCGAGAAGTCATTCTGCGCTTTGCCGAACGAAGAAGGCGCCGAAAAACGACAATTTCAGAGCCCATTTACTCTTTGGACACCACCTCGCTTTGCTGAATCGTGGTTTGAAGTACATTACTACGATCACACTATTCCGAAGGATTTTATATTCCGAAAGCAGCTCCGAATGCACCTCATTACTTTTTCTAGGTTTTTGCTCGCTTTCCCGGAAAGTATAGCAGTGCATCAAATTCCTTAAATAAACACGCAGTTGACTCTTTTACTTGTTATGGATTTTTGTTTTTTGGGGGGCGATATCGGAAAAATCTGCCTGCCCCACCAATACACTTCGGCATCTCAACCTCGTTTCCCGGGTCCTCTCCTACCTGTTCCGTCTCTCGCTAACGAGGTTGTCGGCATCTTCGATCTTTTCAGTCCTCTGGCAAATTTTTCCAAAATTTGCCCGCAGCGGTCGCATTAGCAAAAACTCCAATGTTGACCCAATTCTTGGTAAAACAAATAGAATTCGCTCTAGTGCGACCACGTCTGGCTCAGTTAAGTTCCGCGTCTGAATGAGTTTGGATCGTCTGCTTCAGACGGATAGAACGTCTGAAGGTCGTCTCCGGAACGAACGTCGACCTTTACATGCGACGGACTAAACTAATAAATTGAGATTTGTTGTATATTTAGCCTCGTTCGGGAGAAAATTTATTAAAATTGCTTTTTGGTCTGATTCTGTTGATTGTTCCGGATCGACGCGCCTTAGAAGTCTTAAGTTCCACCTCTGACCCAACACTGAGACAACCTTAACTTAACTAGGTCGATCCAAATTAGTGTATGGTTCGTCTCAAGAAAAGTTCGAGGTTTGGCCTAGGCCTAAAGTTATTGGAATTTTTTCTCAGTCACTGGAGTCTTCAGCCGACTTGAGTAGAATTCAAATTGCCTCTAACCGGGCCCCTCTTTGAACTTGCTTGTCAAGACAATCGCATCAACGGTAAAAGAATTTTTAACGCATTTTCCTCCTCAGTTGTCGCGTTCGTCAGAGCGCATCCTAATCTGGTGTTCCTGTGGCACTAAGGCAGAAATTTTCGAGCTATCACAGGTGACTGCAAATTAGCCGCCCCTATTAATTCTATCAGGGGCTTCTCGACCGTCGGAAGCTGGACTCCTTTCGACTTGATTTCGTTTGCGTAAGAGACGAACGCGGATCCTCAATCAGTGATTACTTATAGTCGCAGGACTAAAGAGCGATCAGTACGACTGACATCAGTCATTCCGAGAAATAAAATTTATTCATATTACGCTTTAAACTAAGATTTATAAACATGTTCTTGTCTTTCTTTTGATAATTGTCAACAGTTATTAACTATTGAGCTCAGAAAAGTGGCTGCAGTTCTTCTTACAAAAGCCAAGAGGGGATAAAGCTTTATCCTGTCTTGCCAAACCCCATCAAAGGCCTCTTAACCCCTAATACTGCATAATGCATACTGGGCATGAGGGTAATACGGTAATTTAGATAAAGGTGATTGCTATAGGTTTCTTTCAAGTCTTTCATGCAAATGGATAGCAAGGAATTTAATAATCCCATGTTACTCCGTAATGCCGCAGTACTAGCTATCTCCTTTAATTTATAAACAGCGTTCTTTAGGTGTCGAAGACACAAACTGTAATTTGTTTTCCTTTATTTATTTGCTTAATTCACAGTCGGCAACAAGATTCTCTACACTACTTTTCAAGGACAAAAAAAAAATCTTCAGCTAAATACTAAAGTGTGTAGTCTACCCGGACCTACCCGGCGTTGAACTCAGGAGAACAAATTAAGAGCATGATTGAAAGGAAAAACTTTTTGCAGGGTTAAGCTTGTAAAATGTGGCTTTGAGCATGGAGGCATTTCTATCGAAATATGTAGGAAAAGAAAGTGAGAAAAACATTTCCTACCGGATTTTCATGGGTCAAAGAAAATTTAGCCAATTAAGTTTAAAATTGGTATTTTGAAATCATTATATAGTTGCTTAAGCGGATGGGACGCGACTTGTCTACAAAAGATTTTAGAGCTTAGGAAACTAAACTGAATCAACTAAAAACATTGCCCTGGCCCAAAAGCTGCATAATTTTTCAAATGAAGTTTTGATTGCACTAGAAATGATTACGTCACCAGCAGAAAACTAATCTCATATCCTGATCTCTTGTCGACAAGAGATCTGGGTACGAGATTGGCAGAAAACTACATAACGGACAATGGTTTGCTCACGCGCAGTCAGGACGCCGATTACTAGTTATCGGCTCCTGGCGTACTAGAGGAAACAGTTGTTTTGTTCATGTTCAGTTGTTGCGGACAATGTTTGGCGCGTGCGGAGTTTGACATTTTTTTTAGAGAGGAAAATACTGATCTGCTCTGACCCAATGACAAATTTCGTCCAATACATACTCGCAATTCTTCATCAACTTTTAGTTTAGTCTCCTGAACTCATTAGATTTTCCCATCGAACTGTATAAATCCCAAAGTAGACTCCCAGAAAAATTGCGTATGAGATGGGAAACACGACCCGGCAATAGCGATCCAGATAATTTATCTCCTCTTCACCGTCCGGTTCGATGGTCTTTTTAATAATCTTAATCATAGACGGTCTTCTTTGAAGCTTTTTCAAATGTGTTCTGTCAGGTTTTCGCCGATTCTCTTTCATGTTGTCATCTGGTTCTTTTATCCTCACTGTGCGCGCATTACTGTTGTGATTCGCGCAGTTGATTGGTTCACCAGTGCTCTTTTTCTCTCTTCCGCTACAAAAGTCATATGTTTTGTCACCAATGGACACTGTTACAGTCACCTTGAAAAAAGAAAGAGTATTTAAAAGAACATGAAATCTAGAGGATCTTAATGATGTTACCAAGGCAATTTGCAGAGGCGATTTTTAGCGCAACACAGCGTAGCAACATCGGTTGCTACATCGTTTCAACTGGTTGCAACACTGTTCCAGCATTGCAACGCCGGCTGTGTTGTGCTAAAAATCGTCGTTGCGAATCGTGCAGTTTACCATCAGAGGTGCGAAGGTCTGGTATCTATTAGACTAGTGGTTTTACGTATCTGAAAAATCAATACGAAATAAGTCAGTTAATATACCATCATAGAACCTTAGGAAGTTTTTGCTTACTTAGTGTCAAACTAAACAGAAAACACGTGCAGTATTTCACAAATGTTGATCTGGTACCCTATCTCATGCTATAAACTCCTCATCGCGTCAAAGGCAAAAGAAGGGAGCGATCCACAGAACAAGAAAATTAGATACCGTTGCTATTGACGGTTTAATTTTCTCTCGCCTGATTATTTTTTTCAATTTAAAAACAGAAAATCGAGAAATATTCAGGGGACATATGCAACGGAAGCTTTTTTTACAGCACACGGATAGTTACACATCCTACCTTCTCATCCTCATCCTCTGTAATCATGAGAGCTTCTTGCCGCTTCCTTTCACGTTCTAGCGTTTTTATCTCTAGTTCCTTCTTCCTCCTCTTCTTTTTCCTCGAATGCTTTAACACCAGCACATATTCAATCAAAGTCATAAAAACGAATACGAAGGAGCCCAGCAAGAAGTAATCGATTGACTTGAGGTAGGACACGCGAGGCACGTTATCATTCAGTGCGCCTTGCATGAAGCTGATAGTCAACACTGTAGCTATGCCTAGTCCCACGCGGTCAGATCCGTCTGTTTCGTCGACCCAGAAACTGACCCAGGATAGAATAACAACACAGATACAGGGAATGTACATTTGGAAAATGTAGTACATCGTGCGACGTCTGAAACGGATTGTTGCCGTCACACCAGCGAACGCTTCTAAAGAGGCAAGAAAAAATCTAAGTGGTAAGGATTAGATAATCTTTTATAAATGCCTTCGCGCACCGTTAGCAACAATCGATAACATTTTGGGCGTATGACGCATCATCACCTAGCCTGCGAGCAAGATCTCTCGCGTCTCATCTCGCACGTGCCGCTCGCGAGTGACCTCTCTCGATATCCCCTAAATGGAGTGCCTGCTCGCAGGGTAATCATCAACCATCCGTGGAAGTCACTGGCCAAGTGGCCTCGAATATCAAGGAAACTAAAAAGCTTAATTCAATCCAGCTAAGGAAGAGTAAACAATGAACGCCCAAGATAAGGTTGGCGCGAAAGCATTTCATACGTATTGATTTCATCAGTGTACCATTACCGACTAGATATGGGTTTTACAAATTAAGGGAACATTCGGCGTTACTTCAGAACCCTTGTGTGCAAGTTTTATAAGGGGTCAAAATTTTTATAGACGCATATAAACAATATTTTATGTACAAAAACTTTGTAAAAAAAAACTTTATGTGGCTGAGAATCGTGTAGTTTGTGTAATATGCATTTTCGTTCAGACTTTTCAGAGATTTCATAGCTGCTATGGTTTTTAACCATTTACATATCACATCAACTAAGCCTTTTCTAAAACCAAATGAAGTACCTTGTCCCTCAACCCTCTTGGATCTAAGCCAGTGAATGATACTTTTCTATGTTTCGCGCGCTCATAGTTACCTGAGTTTTTTCACATAATACTCACCAGAATGATAAAGTTTATGTTTTTGATACCGTTTGGCAGACAAAATATCAAACTGTGCCATTTCTTGGTCATAAATGAAAATGTCACTTCCGACCTCTAATCTGTGCCAGGTGAGGTTTAAATCCTTTTCTTCGAACGAAACTGAAACAGGAAAGTATATAAGCCGGAAGAGAGGGTCTCCAATAGGTTTTTCGGGAGTAGTATGGTAAGGACCGGTTACTCCTCCATTGTTTGGGCAGGATTATTTATTTATTTATTTATTTATTCACTAGCTTTTCTGGACACAGGCCTGCCCAGAGAGAATGTGCACGAACGGGACTCAGGTCGCATGCGAGGTGCCATGCCCACCCAATCCCACAACCCGTAAAGGTTGACCACACCACCGGGGTCTACGACCCCTACTCTTTTCGAATAGTGATGTGGGTTTTTTCACGGCCCACAAGAACCAATCAGAGAAAGTGCTGTGAGACGGGACCTACGGTTTTTCGCCTGTGACTTTAAGGCCCTTTCCATAGGAATCGGACAAATTTGAAACCGCATGTTTTTTTTTTTACCCGGATTCTTGGGGATTGGGCCATAAGCCAATCCCATGTGGTTTTGCTTAGAGTATTCACTGGAGTTCGAGTAGACGAAAGGCCGACATCGTGTACAAGAAATACCCGGACTCGTCTGGACGTGGCCTTAAAAACACTCAGGGGTAACGTAATTATGCAAGGTCTATTTCCTGCGCAAGAAACAGTATATTTCTGGTAGTTAGTGAAATGACAGCATTGAGTTAAAAGATCAAGAACTGTTTACCATTAAAACTGTGTACAACGGTTACCCTTGGGAAATGGCAAGGTGACCGTTATATACAGGGTGACCGATATATATATATAGGTCAACTTTGCAGAAAATATAAGGCAACTGATATACATAGTGACCGCTATCAGTACAGGGCCGTTATATACAGGTTTGACTGTATTTTAGATAAATTGTACTTACAACTCTCAAAGGCCAAGTGGCAAATTTGTTCATCTAAGGGATAATCCCTCAAGTCCACTTTACAAGAGCTTCGAGCAGTGTATCTGCAAACCAGACCAAAATTAGAAAAAAAAGGTGAAATGTTCTTTTTCGTAACCATAGGGATGGAGCATTAAAGAAGGCCTCCTGAATATTAGGTCCAGCAAAAGAAAATTGCAAAAGCTAACCAAAATGCTTTAAAGCTAAGATTGCTACTGTTCATCAAATTTTACAAAAAAACAACGACGAAGAAAGTTCTGTTTGTTGTGGTTGTCATTGGCGGATCCAGTGGAGGGGCCCGGGGGGCCACCCCCCCCCCCCCCCCTCTTTTTATGTAAATTGGAGGCTCAAGCGGCCCAAAAAAAAATTATAAGACACGGCGCCCCCCACAACACAAGGGCGAAAGTATAACCCCCGGGGGTTTGTTTGTGGTTTATTTTTTTTGTTGTTTTTTTTGTTTTGTTTTTTTTTCTTTTTTATCTTGTTTTTGTTTCTTTTAAAAAAAAAAGAAAAGTTGTTTTTGGTGAACCAAAGGAGAGAGGATTAAAAAAAGCGCCCTTAAAGTTAGGACCACCAAAAAAAAAATGGAAAAACTAAACAAAAAACTTTAAAACTAAAATTTCTCCTGTTTTCCAAAATTTAAAAAAAAAAAACGCCGCGGAAAAGTCTGTTTTTTTTGGTTGTTACTGGGGGGTCCACTGGGGGGGGCCCGGGGGCCCCCCCCCCCCCCCCCCATATTTTTAGACTAAACTGAGGTCCGAAGGGCCGAAAAAAACTTTTTCGGAGACCGGGCCCCACCTTATCTCAAGGTCTGGATCCGGCACTGGTTGTTGTCTTGCGTTTAGTTTTGTTGTTGTTGTTCTTTTTTACATGTTTTTTACTCCTTTTTAAAACTCATTTTGGATTCAGCATAAGAGTCTAGAAAACTGCCTACCTGCAAGTAATAATAAAACTTCTAAAACAGTGATGCGATATCTGAACGATCAAAAACGTTAAGTTACTTGGTTACACCAGTACGTCTGTACTGCGCTACAAACTCACCGCAAGACTAACATAATGGTCCCATTTCCTAAATGTATCCAGGCTTTTTTGTTAATTGCTATCAACTTGTGAATTTTAGTGTCGATAGAGTTTACAATGAAGGTGTCTGGGACCCATAGCTTCTCTGTTGCCTCTCCACTGAGAATTATGGTCTTGTTAAGACCAAAGCCAAGTCGAGGATCCTGCCAGAACTGCCCCATGTACAAATCAACTGAGAACTCCTAAACAGAAAAATATTAATGGTAAAATTACAGTACTAAATAGTATTATAGTTAGGTAGTTATAGTGTAGCCCCGATCTGATACTTGTGCTGACCAGGCACTTCTGGGCAATTGTCAAAATCGTGACATCAAAGAAATATTTTAATTTATAATTCAGATTGCATCTTTTAATACTAGCAGAACTTACCATTTTCGTTTCACTCAGTTCTCCAAATGAAAGAATAAGCAAGTTTATTCCAAGTTCCAGTGGTTTCACTGAAATGAAATGCGTGTATTAGATTTGAGACCCAGGGCGTTGGCCAGGATGTGTGAATAGAGGTTGTAATTAAACGGAAATCTAATTCCTGGGAAGTCCGCACATTTTAACGTCACCAAGTCTGGGCGCGACTTCCTTAAAGAAAACAATGCAGAATATTGTAATAGAGTACTTGAGCGTGACGTCATAAAACTTAAATTTGTGAAATTATGGGATTCGTCACGATATTCTGAAAGAAAAACACCCAAGAGGCCTACTTGCCAAAAACTAGCAATAGCCCAGTTATGCTCTGATAACTCCGTACAAATCCTTCTAAATTTGGCTTGGGTCTAAACGCTATGACCCAAGTTTCACAGATTTAAGTTTTATGACGTCATCCGGCTTTAGAACTCTATGGCGACACACAAATAGGGTAATTTCCCATTATCCTCTCTTGACAACACTTCATAAAAGTTTGTGGACCTCTTCAAAAACAAACTTCCGATTAATTTCAGCCGTTTAATTGGTCTAAAAATAGCTTTGGTGAAATTCCCATATCCCAAGGGCTAGACTGGGCGTTTCCCTCTTTGTAACATTATTTTCTCTTGCTACTACTAGTGGTAATAGTACACACACTTTCATTGAGTATGTCCTTTTCTTTACGCTTGCCTGTTTTAAAATGATTAGAGGCAGGTCACTCTAGCTCTTGGCAGGCCGGTCTGTCATGCTCCAACTGCTTTACTGTCCCAAAGCGGTTACTCGTCTACTCTGTAGATCTTTTATCCGTAAGATGGTTCACAAAAGCGTCGATCCACAAAGATGAGCTATGAAAAAATCAGGACGGTAAGGCGCTTACCTTCGTAAAAAGGCCTAATTCTCTTGTCATAATTTTTAAAAACCGCGTCCAACAGGCGCGACACGTTCCTGCCAGCCGCGGTGTAGTTTCCGTAAAGGCGATGAAGAACTGGAAAATCTGCTTCGGAGGAATCCGTGTCGTCACTGGAATATTTAAAAACGAAAGGATAATTTTATTAATGTATATTAAGAATAAAATGAGAAAATAGCGAAAAATGAAGAAACATCATACAAATTGAAAAAACTTACGAAAACTCTAAGGCATCAGAAGGCGGGGCTACATCTCCTAGAATTATTCTTGTCAGGTTAGAATTTGGGTGGATACTTCGGTTGATCTTCCTGGAAAAGTGTGCGATATGTTTTGTAAGTAAATAATTCTCCAGACTGATCTCCATTCATTCCCTTAAAAAACTGGTTGACGAGAGAATTTGTATAAGAACAAAGCATTTTCCCTGAGGTGATCGTTTTGTTTATTCTCATAGCCTTTTTTGTTCAAAATGTATGGATACTGCAAGGAGAAAATTAACTTTGGCTAGCCTCGTTCCCAGTCGTCCTCGGCGATTTCGGATGTGACGTCACCTGTCAAGTTTGTCGGGAAAATTCGCCGAGGTTCCAAGCCTCCTCCGGTCACTCGGATAGCGCGAACAGGCCTAGGTACGAGGCTGAATTTTGGCCGTTCTTAGGTCATGAAGGGTTAAGAGATAAATTTAGGTTTCTAGGAAACTGCCCACCTACCCCTCCCGTAACCCAACATTTTGCAAGTGAGACGCAAATGTTAACGTTAGGGGAGGGGTAGGTGGGCAGTTTCCCATAAACCTAAATTGATCTGGGTTAAGTGCATTGGCTGTTGTCAAAGTAACACTTCTTCAGTGAAGGCCACTAAAATCAGTGAGTATTACGTTGAATATTTTCTAAAAGAGTTACAAAGCTTCCTTTTAAATTCAAATGTTAGTCCTATGTACCTGGTTCTTAAATGGACGTCAAATTCATGATTTGTGTTGTTTTGGTGATTTTCGTGTACGGAGCTGCAAAAACGGTTAAAAAAACAATATTGCAAACACGATAGACAGAAAACAACGCAAGTTATAACAACATAAGCAAACACCTACACTTTTTAGTTTTAGCATCAGCTTAACTCGGATGTCATTGCTACCCTGATCATAACCAATTTTCTTCTTTATCTAATACAACTGTGGTGTCAATTTTTCCAAATCCTTGTTTATGGCGACGCAGTTTACGCTCAAACTTGGGAGGTATTGACCTTGAAAAANCATTGCTACCCTGATCATAACCAATTTTCTTCTTTATCTAATACAACTGTGGTGTCAATTTTTCCAAATCCTTGTTTATGGCGACGCAGTTTACGCTCAAACTTGGGAGGTATTGACCTTGAAAAACTATATCGAGCCACCTTAAATGGTATATTTTCGTAAAAAAAAGTGATACTAAACTCACAAGCAGCAAAACAAAAATTACTCAACGCTGTGCTCAGTAAGATACCTATTTCTTATCTTTTCTCACAAAGCTTGCATGGCAACAATTAAGTCTTGGATAATCGTCCTATATGATTGTTGTTTTAAGCTACAGTATCGAACTACACGTGACTTTTACCATCTATAAGCAATACAGCATGTCGAATGCAGAATATTTTAAGTTCTCTATAGGACCACAATCCGATACTTTTAGGTTCTGAAAAACATCGTCTTATGGCTTTTTGTGGTTTCTAATTAACGATTGCCGTTAGCTCGTCCATGTGCCGATATGATTACAAAAACATTTTACCTGCCTCCCACCAACGAATTCCAAAAGAAAACTTGGAGAAGAAATAACATCTGAATGAAAGTCTGCGTCCGCCACATCTTCACAGTTGGTCTTTTACTCGAAGCTTACATCAGAAGCTAAATACAAATAAAAAATTAAAAGCGTTAATGAGGTTTTAAACATACCATTTAGTACTTAATTCAGTGACAAACAGGAAAGCTCAAGAAAAGTGATGAAGAGGTTTAGAAACAAGAAGATTTAAACCTTCGCACACCAAGCGCTCAAGTTCAACTATTATGTGCAATGACGAAAATGCTAAAACGTATTGCTTTGCGTAAACCTAAACATAGTAGGAAAAAGGGGACGGCAAGCCCCGTAGCTTCCTATCTACACGTGCAACGTCAACTGAGAGACACGAAGAGAACCTTCAAGTGCCTAAATTAAAATAACAGCCGATCATGACCTCAGACCGGGCGGATTGAAATGAAAAAAGTGTTTGGTCACCTGCCCTTCAGTAGAAAAATGATGATGACTGTGAAATGTATTAAGCCGACCTCCTACGTCAACTTTGCTGATAGGCCGCCCATACAGGTTTGCTTCTCAGAAATATGTTGGGCTTGGTATATGGGTACATGGACGGGTGTCCGCTTAATACGGGGTTTCACGGCAATTGAAGCCTATTTAACACTTTAAGAGAATAATAACAATTTAGTGTTCCGTATATATTGGGGTTCGAGAACAAGCCCCATGAGCTGCAAATCAGCTAGCATATAGCTAGCTAGCATAGACGAAAATTTTGGCTTAAAAGTTCATTGTTTCCTAACAATCTAATTTGAGTGTCACAAAACACATGCCGGGGACTGACTCGAGACCATTATCGCCATAAAAAAGAGTCAACTACTGGATAGTTACACTTCTTATCCTACAGCAGTTAAAAAGAGAAGCGCAACTTGACATATTTCAGTCAAAAAATAAAAAAGGTTCTGCGCTTGAGGCTACTATAAACAATTCACTAGAGAAATGAGCTAAAGGAAAATGAAACTAGCCCTGCAACGGAGTGATTTACTATAGGTGGCTAGGCATATTTGTCATCGAATTATCATAACGAGGAATGTTACTGCACATGCATTTCTACAAGGATTTTACTTATAGAGAATGAATCCTCCCTTTTGAATCTAAAGTATCTTCAGCTCTACTTCTACAATCTACGAAGATACATCAATTTAGTATATGAAATCAGGCCTTAGTATTAAAAGCAAAACCCAGATGCGTAAACAGGCCAGTGCTAATAATGACAGAAAGACTTACTTACTTCTTCTTACTTTTACTCCGGATTGCTATTATAATGATATCACTGATCGGTTCCGAATTTGTTTTAAGATGCAAAAGAGCTAGCCACTCACAGATCAGCCATTCACAAACCAAACTGAAAACATTCATGAAGTTATCATTTTGATGTCCAGACTGGAGTTGCTCTCTTTTGCGCGGCCAAGAGAAATCAAGAAAAAAGTCGACGTTTTCGTGAGGGCAAATCGGGGATGTTTAATGATAACCACAGAACTGACTTCTGCTGGCCTATGTTTACTTAATTTAATACAAGTAGAAACTTACCAGGGTCAACAAGAGCCCAAGGAAAGCGAGGAGACCGGCTAACCGAAGAATACAAGAAATTCAGACTGAAAGCTTGGCTTTCGTGAAAGTCCCGAATAATGGCATCCCAACCATGACTAAAAGAGTTTACTACAGTCAAACCCACAGTGTCGTGTTTGGTTTGTCATTGGCTAACAGGCCATTTGATTTTAAAGTATCCCTATCGCAATAAGCAGGCATTTCAAAAGAAAGGATTTGGGCATAATTATCTTTCTTATCTCTAGAGACAATCATTTGTAGAGGAGCCATACATATATACCCTGTTTTCCTACTTGATTGATTGCCTTACGGTGTGTTTCACAAATTTTTTTTTGTAAACTTTCTTTTAAAGATAAATATTTCTGAAACTATTTTTATCTAAAGGCTATCTCTGACAGTTAACTGGACAAGCTCTGAATGCACTGTGTAAAAAAATGATGCAAACGACCGGTGAAAACATGAACTGCATGCATGCACAGGTTAAATATCTAGATAAGAAAACAATTAATTTATACACTAATTGCTCTTTTGGATTAAAAGCTTTCCAGGGTTTTCCTCGTCTGCAAACTTAACTATTAATACTAAACTGACTGAAATCCCAGACGCCAGAACCATTCTAATCAATACCAATGTATTATTATGATCACAAGCGAATAGAGACTTGAAAAAGCAAGAGAAAAGCTTTGTGCGTACTTCAGCCATGGTCAGATCGCATTCATTAACCGGAATCTGGTTACACTGATCAATAACCGATCCGTCAAAATTTACAAGCGTGTTTTTTAAGACTTTGATGTAATTCAGCACAACTGTGGCTTTTTCTGACTTTTTCCTTACATTCATCAAGACGTTTTTGATAACGGAGCAACTATGATGAGTTTAGAAGTCGTGTTATTGCTCTATTTTCAAAACATACACCTTCATGATAAAATTTGTTTTACTTTCACCCAGATGAGCTGTAAAAATTGAAAACAGCCTTTAAAGTAGCTTTATGTATCTCGTAGATCCTGCCTGAATTTAGGAAAATAGAAAATCAGGGAATACATAATACATATTGGGGCTGAGTGGTTTTTCACTGTAACTTAAGAAATCTAAAACAATGTTAAGCCCTCTTTCACATTAATGTGATGGCGAGTTTCTGCACTCGACTGAAACCAACCAATGTTTTCACTGAAACCCGTGGTCACTAAAATTGGTTCTCTAGTACTTTCTTCCTCGAGGGCACCTACGGTGAACGTTGCCTAAACATTAGGGAGTTTATTATACGGCTACTACGGACTACGACTACGGTTAAAAATGCTACCAAGCATGATCAAAACCACGTGACTGTTCATTTTTCCCGCGTTGTGCTGCGGCTACGGTGAGTTGTTGAGCCGTTTCGCGTAGCCGGGACTACGGAGAACATCTTGCACGTATTTTGCCGTCTCGGTAATTCAAGAATCTCGTCTTTTCGTTAAAAAGTTTTCAATTCACCTGCTTTAAGTGAGAGGGAAGCGAAATATGTAAGTTGTGTCTAATTTCTGCTCAGATGTACGCTTTTAATCCACTGTTGTGACTACATTTTTATCTAGCTAAGCTCAAGCTCATATTTAAATAAGCTTAGCTGTTTATACGCAGAATTCAGATTGACGGCCGAGGAGAAGAGAAATCAGGCAGGTAATTATATGCAAGTAAATCACTCATATATCATTAACACTCATTTCTTTCACGGGAACATATGAACCCACAATTGACCTGCTCCCAACGTCAGTGGCTTCATAGCTCAGTTGGTAGAGCATCGCACCGGTATCGCGAGGTCACGGGTTCAAACCCCGTTGAAGTCCTGAATTTTTTTTTTAGGCTTCTTTACACAATTGCATAAATTGCGTTCACTGTGATGATCATTTCTTCATTTCCAATTTACTTTCTCTTCGCACTTGAAAAGTTTCAATGTTTGGTCGAACTGATTGGCGTGTCTTTCTACTTGTGTAACCTT